AACCCTAAAGCCTACAGTAGAAGCCCAAAAGTTGGAAACCCAATAGCCTCAATCCTTAAGCGTAATGTATAAGCAATCAGAGCACTAATTGTCCTTAATCCGGTTTCCAACTTTTTGGGGTTTGCCCTAAACCCTAAACCCTAAACCCTAAACCAAAACCCTAAACCCTAGACCTTAAACCGTTGGCGGTGGCCTGGAGATTCGGGGTTCCTGTTTGTTTCAAGAACACCCGACCAAAGCATGTGCTTTCAGAGGAAGGTTGCCGAGTTGTGGTTCAATCGGGGTTGTAAAAGTCTGCTATTTTTTTGGGGGGGTGAGGGTTGCGGTTTAGAGTACCTAAGCCTTAAAAACCCCAAACCCCGAACCGTGGCAAAAAGAGGGGTGGATGGGGATCGCCGCTCGACATCTGGGTTTGACTCACGACCGCACACCGGACAAGGACAGGGGTCGAACATGCCCGAAATCAGAGCCAAAAGAGTTGGCCCGAAACTCAAAGCTCTACACCCTAAACGTGTTTTGGGGTTTAGGGTTTGGGGTTTAGGGTTTAGGGTTCGCGGTGTAAGGGTCACGGCGCCTGGCACTGATCGAGAAGGACGTGCTTGAACTTGCCGACCTGTTAGCGATCCCGCTGGGACTTTACAACTTGGGTTCACAGCTCGCGTTCCTGGACTGCCAACCCCAAACCCTAAACCCTAAACCCGCAAACCCTAAACCCTAAACCCTAGACCCTAGACCCTAAAACACTATGAGCCCTATGAGCCCTTGAAGCCCTAAACCCCTACCTAGAAAGCCCCAGCGCCCTTCGCCCCAGAACCGATACTCTGAACTGAAAACCTGCCGGTTCCGGTTTAGGGTTTAGGGTTTGGGGTTTAGAGTTTAGGGTTCAGGGTTCAGGTTTTCCGGTTTGGGGTTTAGGGTTTAGGGTTTAGGGTTCAGGTTTGCCGGTTTGGGGTTTAGGGTTTAGGGCTTAGGGTTTGGGGTTTGGGGTGTGGAGTTTAGGGTTTAGGGTTCATGGTTTAGGGCTCAGGGTTTAGGGTTTCGGGTTCAAGGTTTATAGGGTTTATGGTTTCGTGTTTAGGGTATGGGGGTATGGGGTTTATTTGAACCCAGCGTCTGTTCACTGTACTTCGGGGAGTTTGGAAAAAGATGGAATCAGCAATAACGATGGACCACATCTTCCAGTGGGTTTCAGGAACACTAGACCCCAAACCCCAAACCCTAAACAGTGTGTGCAGGGTCCAGAAATCTAGGATTCAGCAGCGCAAGGCGGGCCTTCAGGTGCTCAGAACACCAGTCGTTGAAGTGCACACAGAGGCTGGTGTACATTTCCTTGGCTGACTTCTGAACCCCTCCAAAAAGTTAAACTTTTAGTCTCCTTATTATGGTTCATATAGAAACCCAAAAAGTTAAAGTCTAAAGAGCCAACCAGCAGAACACCAAGTTTCGACGAAGTGATGCTGCGTGGTGGCCTGGCAGAGCAGAGGGAGGCGACTGGATTTCTGCCCCCTTTTTTCCTAGGTGTTTAGGGTTTAGGGTTTAGGGTTTAGGGGTTTAGGGTTTAGGGGTTTAGGGTTTAGGGTTTAGGGGTTTAGGGTTTAGGGTTTAGGGTCCTAACCACCACCCCCCTCCACCCCTCAAGGCCACAGAATGTGTAGCTGCTAGCCGGTCCATGCCCCGACACCTACACCCTAACCCGGGGTTTCGGCTGTAGAGGATTTACGGCTTAAGGGCTTAAGGACTGGGGTTTAGTGGCTTTAGGGTTTATGTAGGGGTTTTGGGGTTATTTAGGGGTTTGTTATTTAGGGCAACCCCTAAACACCTTGAACACCACACAAGGCCCATACTACGAGATGCAGGTGCTGCCAGCAGCCCACTGAGGCCCCAAGCAGCCGAACCAATAGGCTCCAAGTAGACGACCATTATGGAATTAGGTCCCAAAAGACCATCCTTGTTATAGCTTTAAGAGCCTACCCATAGGCCCCATAGTAGGCCATTTTTGGGACTACCTAATAGAATCCTAAATGTAAGACACAAAAAGGAACTAGTAGGGGGTCTATGGGTAATTCCATAAATGTAGTAGTATGTTTCCAGCCCTTCACATGGTCTTTGTGCAGGCAAACCCCGTCGAGTCCCCGAAACCCGAAACCCCAAAATCCCTGAGACATCTACACCCGAAAGGAGCCCGGAACCCTAAAGAAACCCTAAACCCTAATTCCTAAACCCTAAACCGTGGGCCATGCTTCCGTCTACAGAACACCAACAGCCCTAAACCCTAAACCCGTTTCGTCTGTGCCCGGCCTTCTCAAAGACCTCCTGCATGAGGATCCTGTGAGGGGGGGGGAGGGGGGGGGAGGGGGGGACACGAGATGTGGGCCAGGATCGAGAGTTTAAGGGGCAACTGAAGCCTCCCAACCTGCCAGCAGAATGAGGGTTTAGGGCTTAGGGGTTTAGGAGTTTGGGCGTTTAGGGGTTTAGGGTTTGGGAGTTTAGGGTTTAGGAGTTTAGGCGTCTATAGGGGTTTAGGGTTGAGGGCCACGGCATTTGTAGAGTTGCAACAGCGTGGTGGCTGCATATCCAGCTGAACGAGCTCCAAGAGGAGTTCGTCCATGGTTTCAGGTATTCAGGCTTTGTGATCTAGCATGATACCGAAGAGCTCAGATTTCAGGACTCTTGTGTTTAAAGCTCTACCTTTCGTTGTTTTGTTGACAGATTTCAGGACTTTTGCGTTTAAAGCTCTACCGTTCGTTCTCTTCTGACATCAGCTGGAAGCTGTAATCTCAGGTTCGCTACCTCTAGGGATCCGGACTTAGAACCAGACAGCTTGAGGGTCAGGGGACCTAGACGACCCTAAACCCTAAACCAAAAAACCCTAAACCAAAGACCCTACACTCTACACCCTAAACCCTATAGAGCCAGCAACTAGCAGTGCGCGGTCCTCGGGCTCAGCAATCTTTGGGGGATAGGGTGGTTTGGGGGTATAACGATGCTGAGGTGTATGTTTCGGGTGTTATGTCTGTCAACTTTCCTTTCCGCACGAGAAACAGCTGTGGAGTGCGGAAAGAAATTGTTGACACGCTTGGGGTTGCTTACGCTTTTTGATTAGGGTTCAGAGGAACGTCCTGATGTGGTCTTCCTTGGTGATGCCGCACTCAGTGAGCTGCCTGAGTTCCACATCGCGTCGACATGCGTCATTTCTCGATCCTACACTCACCAAAACATACGAGTGATACACAACACCTGCATGCTTCATGCGTGGATCGTTCGAGTCGAGCTGGGTTCGCAATTTTGGACATGCAATGTTCTGGTCCTAGAAAAACAGATCTTCTAACACCTCTGCTCTTCAACTACTCCGTTCGTGCAGGTGGATGCCCGGCCGTACAAGATAATTAACATGAAAACCTGTTATGTGCTACGTTACACCCGTTACACCCCCCCCCCCCTCACTCTTGGATGGGTTCCCCTAAACCATAAACCGTAAGGCCCTAAACTCCAAATTTCTAAGCCCTAGACAGAAGCCTCACACTGTAGTATCTAGTGCGTGGGAAGATGAGGGGCTCTCGCACCTGTAATCTCTGGGCCTTGAGAAGCTAGGTTTTTTGGTCTACTATAGTAGACATCAAAAAGTTGGAAACTCAATAGCCTCAAGCCGTAAGAGCAAGGTATAGGCGAATCCCAGCACTATGTGTCCTCAATCCGGTTTCCAACTTTTTTGGGGTTTACTATATACGAGAACTGTAGTGAGGAAGCTTGAGGCGCAAGCTTGGTCTAGTCAGGGGAATACATAAATATATAATATAGTAGATATTATACATATCTATTATATTATAAATATTTCTACATGTAATCTCCTACGTCCCTAAACTGCTTGCCTCAAACCACACGTCGAGGTCAGTAGTAAGTAGACTGACTCAAGGCGCAGGTTGAATGAACAGAGACGGGCTCTAGGTGCTACGTAATGTAGGGGCCTCAATAATTAGAAGAGGGTTTTGGGGGTTCCTTGCTATGATTATGTATAAGATGCCCCCAAACCCTATTCAAATTATAGAGGCCCCCATATTAGGTTGGATAGAAGACTATGTGAGGCCGCGACCTGTAAAGGTCATCGAACTTCTCGAGGGTGAGCTTGTTCAGAATGCTCCTGGGGTTTGGGGGGTTGAGGGTCCCATCGGTCGCTGTAGAAGTCTGGCTTCTTTGTTCTTGAGGTTTAAGGGTTTAGGGTTCAGGGTTTAGGGTTCAGGGTTCATGGGTTTAGGGTTCAGGGTTTTTGGGCTTATGCTACACAGATTTGAGATTCGCAGGCTTAGGTCTGCGAGGCGGATGGGAGAAGAAGGATGCAAAAGGAGTGGTGGTGAATGGTGTAGGGCTTTGCGTGGGATTTAGGGTTTAGGGTCTATAGGGGTTAGGTTTTAGGGTGATTTGCGGCCAAGCTTACAAAAGGGTTCGGGTGGGCAAAAATCTGGCCACTCGACCCCCTCAGCCATCAATCTTGAACCTAACTAGGTTGGTTCGATTGGCCCTTCGAAGCCTTTGAACACAAGGTTCGTGGATGAGATCCTCTTCGGCCCAGTAGGGAAAATGTGAAACTTCCCAAATGCCTTTCAAACCCTAAACCCTAAAACCTAAACCATAAAAATGCCTCCCTGAACCTAAGGATCAGCCGAAACTCCCACACGTGAACCAGAAACGCTGGAACCCTGAACCCTAAATTCGCCCTAAAACCTCGAACCCGAAAGCCCAAGCCCTATGAACCCTATAATCCCTAAAACCTGAAACCCTCATGCCCTGCTACACCGCTACAGTAGCCCTGTGTAGGTTTCCTGACTCAAATCCCTTTAAAGGAACCCTATAAGCCCCCAAGAAATCCTCTCGAAGCCCACAAGAATGATCCCCGCCCCCAAAAAAATTATGAATCCTCGAGGCTACGCCCCGACAACCTGAAGAGCACAACCCAGGCTTCGGCTTTAGGATTTCGGGTTTGGGGTTTGGGACTTGTAGGATCTCGGGCTTAGTTCCTGGGTTCTAGGATTTCGTGTTGTGGTTTGATTGTAGGCTCTTTTCAGACTGCGAACAGCTGGAGTTCCTTACCAGGATTTCGGGTTTAGGACTTCGGGTTTAGGTTACCTTCCATCCTCCAGAGGAGAAAGCAACTGCCTTCTTACAAAGCGAAACTTGAGCTGAACCCTACCTGGACCCTGTAAAAACCTACCTCCTTGCTATGGTTTCCTTACACACGCCATTGAAAGCGGCTAAAGTAATAACTCCTGAACCCTAACCGCCCTAACCCTTAACCCCCCTTAACCCCGAAACCCTAAACCCTGAACCCTTAACCCTAAACCCTTTTTCCCTAAACCTTTAAACCCTAAACCCTAAGCCTTAAACCCTAAGCCCAGCGTTGGTTGGGCTGAGGCCCTAGCTTCATTCTGCGGGCAATCTCCTGGCAGAACGCAAGGGCGGCAGCAGGTTTAGCTGAGGTTTTGGCTTCAGGGCTTTCGAAGATTTTCGAAGGCTTTCTAGGGCTTTCAGGGGGTTCGAGATTTTTTAGGGCTTATAGACTTTAGGGTTTGGGGCTTAAGGGTTAGGACACTTTGTAGCGGTTCGGGTTTTACGGTGTCCGGCTCACTAACCCCATGCCCCAAGGGGCCATGTAATTACGTTCCTTTGGATAAGGGTTCCTTTAAGGGCTTTAGGGGTTTCATGAGGGTTCTATACGGTTTAATGGTCCATGTACACATATAGTATATACTTCGGCAGTAATGTAGTTCCTATATGGGTGCTTGGGGAGCTGAAGTATATGCTGTTTGGGCACATGGACCCTTAGGGATCGTTCAACTGCTTGGCACAAACCCTCCAAGCCACGCATCTCAAAACCTGTACTGCTTTTTGGTAGGCGTTGATTTCCGACAAAGAAAGGCCACCACCTTCGAGGCGTCCCGCATAAGTAAGTGAAAACCCATTTCTCACTGTATAGGGTTCACCGTTAGTTACTCTGACCTGGTACGTAGTCAGTCTGTAAGCATTTTCAGCTTTTCGGAAACTGACTCTCTCTCAATGGGGGTTTAAGTTCTTCCGTGCACGGCTCAGGGGTTTAGGGTTGTACGGCCAGAGTCATAGTGTAGGAGCCTACATAACTAGTGACATCTGCTTTGCTATGTTATGCCTATGCGTTGCATTGCTATGCGACGCGATGCTTCAGTATACTATAGCACGATACTGGACGAGGCTAGACTATGCAAACCTATTCCATACCACAATACGTTTTGACATATCCTACTCTGGAGACTCCTTCAAGCCCCCCTTCCTTTAACGCCTCTCCAATTTAAGCCCCCTTTAAGCCCCTTCCCAGAGAGCCCAATACCCCTTGATTAAGGCATATGCCTTAAACCATCTTAAACCATAACATGAAGGTCCCTATAATCTAAGGTATATTCCTTAATTAAGGGGTATTGGGCTCTCTGGGTCGAAGCCCCTTCAACGCCCTCTAAGCTTCCCTGCAGAGCTCTGCCTTTCTCGAACCCCCCGGCCGTTGCCTCGTCGGTGGAGTCGCTGCTGCCACTTTTGACGGCGTCGGCCTGCTCAAAGACACTTTACATCGAGGCTTGAGGGTTTTGGGCTTTAGGGTTTAGGGGTTTAGGGGTTTAGGGTTTTGGGGTTTAAGGGGTTTAGGGTTTAGGGGATAAGAGTTACCCCGAACAGTGTGGAGTCTACCCATTCAGCTGCTAAGCT